AAATGAGCGTTATTCATTAAGTACTCTCAAAAGAGCTGTATTCCTGTGTTAGAAGTGGTAAGCTTTGTTCTACTATTACATAACCCACCGATTTTTTTTTTTTCTTGGTGTCTTGTTTTTTAGACTTGTTGCTGGGGCTATTTGGGCATTAAATCAGAAAATCACATTAACTCTAGCTTCTTAGGTATGATGTTTTACTATGTCTCAGGTGTTAAGTTAGACGAATTTATTTATCATCCTTGTTTTAAATATTAGAATTCAGACCCATAAATTATAAGATAAGGCAAAAATGTAAGAAATATTTGGACAAGTATTAGGTATTAAGAGACTTCCAAGGGAAGTTGTATATGAACCCACAGGGCTACTTACACATTGACCTGCCAATTATAATGTCATTAGTTCAAGTCCATCAGTTATGCTGTAGCTTTAAAAGATTTAAAGGTTCATATGATTGGTGTGTGATCCTCATGGTAGGCAGTTCTAAACCACCAGCAGCTCCATGGGTGAAAGATTGGGCTTTCTACTCCTGTAAATGGTTCATCCTGGAAACTCATAGGGGCTTGCTATGAGTCAGCATTGACTCAAGGGCAGTGAGTTTGGGTTTGGGTTTTGGAAACCCAAAGGGGCAATTTTCTCTATCCTATAATCTAACTTACTCCGAGTTAGAATCAATCAGAGGACAGCTGGTTTCTTTGGGGTGTATGATGCTGTGCAATATATGCAAAGACTACAAGTTGGATACTGCAAAATCAGAACGCAGCTGGAGAAGGGAAAAGAAAATTGAAAAGACACATACAAGGAAGGTGTGAAGGCTACCTCAAGTTTTAAATGTACGACTTCATAGCAATTTTCATAAGTATTTTGAAGATCTAAAATTTTCTTGTTCAAATTATGCAGTAATTTCAGAAACAATTTTAATATATAGATGTCAATGAATAATTCATCTTAAATGTTTTAGAGGTGAGGTTGATTCCAAGCTTCTATACAAGAAAAATTCTAACTTTTTTTTAAGAATTTCTGTGCACAGATGGAGATGTCATTTTATCTTAAAACAAGACTGCAACATTTTAATAAAAGAGTTTGAACTCTGAAATACTCATTTTGGGTTGCAGAATATCTGAATTTCTATTTATTGTAGCGAACTCACTACTCATAACAAGCCTATATGACAGAGTGGCATTTACCTGTCTCTCTTTTTAACATTTTATTGGGGGCTCTTACAGATATAACAATTTATAAATCAATTATATCAATGAAAATTGTGTACATTATGAAAGCATTATCTTTCTATTTGAACCCTTTGATATTTGCTCCTCTTCATCACCCCCAATTCAAGATCTCTTAATAATTTATACAAAAAAATGTTTCACATCTTACACAGTCTGCAGATTCCCTTTAGCTACATTTGTTACTTTCCCCCCTCGGTGTGTGTGTGTGTTTGTGTGTGTGTTAAACATCAATCATTGCTATAAGTTCCCCCTTGTCCCCTTTCCCACCCAACCTCCCCATAAACTCATGGGATCTGGTATTGCTATTCCTGTTACTGTTTGTGAAGGGGTTATCTGTCTGTATGTCAAACGCTCTTATTTATACCAATGTACATATTCCAGTCTAGCCAGATTTTTGAAATAGAACTAGGATCATGTTAGTGAGGGGAGGAAGCATCAAAGAACTAGAGGAGTGTTGTGTATCCATCAGTGCTATATTGCACATTGGGCGAACCATCCCTTCCATGTGACCCTTCTGTAAGGGAATATTCAATTGTCTACACATAGGTTTTTGTCTCCTTCACATTGATATAATCATTTATTTTTGATCATCTGATATCTGATCCTGCCAATGCCTCGTGAACACACAGGCTAGTGTGTTTCTTCCATGTGGGCTTTGTTGCTTCCCAGTTAGATGGCTGTTCATTTAACTTCAAACCTTTTAAGACCCTAGATGCTATGTCTTTTAATAGACAGGCACCATCAGCTTTCCTTACCACATTTGCTTATGCACCCATTATGTCTTCAGCAATCATGTTTGGAAGGTGAATATCACACAGTGCTAGGTTCTTAAAATAAAGTGTTCTTGTGATGAGGAAGGACTTGAGTTGAGGCCCAAAGTCAATCTGCTACCTTAATGCTTTAATACAGGAATATATGTACATTGACCAATACCTCTATCATTCATTATGTATTAGTGTATTTTACATATGTACATGCCTATATTTATACCTCTCTAATTAGATTTGCCTCCTAGTTCTTTTCTTTCTTTTTTTTTTTGATTTTTTAAAAATCATTTTATTAGGGGCTCATACAACTCTTATCGCAATCCATACACACATCAATTGTATAAAGCACATTTGTACATTCATTGCTCTCTTCATTCTCAAAACATTTCCTCTCCACTTAAGCCCCCGGCATTAGGTCCTCATTTTTCCCCTCCCTCCCTGCTCCCCCCTCCCTCATGAGCCCTTGATAATTTATAAATTGTTATTTTGTTCTTTTCTATATTTTCTTTTACTTTCCTCCTGCCCCACTGTCATATTCACACTTCATTCTGCTTGCAGAAATTCCCCTCATCCACATTACAATTGATCAACCCCCACCAGGCATTCTAAAACCTCCTTGCCTTTGATTTTAGATCCCTTGTTCCTTTGTCCCTGAGTTTGTTGGCTCCCTGCTCATTTTCCCCCATCTCCTCCTCTCCCATGTCTTCCATGAACCATTGGTCCTGTTGTTTTCCCTCGGGATTGTTTATCTTGCCAATCTTATCCAGATAGACATAGAAAATAAATATATAAATGAATTAAAAGGCCTATAAGTAGTTCCAGGTCTATCTACTGGCTTTTATGAATGTCTTCCAACCAGGTCTACTGATATGCCAAGTCCTGCCCCCCTGAGTAAGAGGTTGATTTTCGGAATTCCTTGGAGACATTGTGACTTTGTTCCCCTGTTGCTCTGTTGTGCCAATTTCATGATTCGGTCAGGTTTTTTGGGGTTTTTTTTGGGTACTGGGAGTGGGGGTGGCGTAGAGTAGAACTTCTCCAATGGGTTTCTGAGCCTATAAATCCTTTTGGGAGCAGAAAGTCTTATCTTTGTCTTGCAGAGCAGCTAGTGGGTTGACTTTGTGGGTGGAAGTCAAACATGTAGCCTACTACACCATAAGGGCTCCTTATTTATTGCACAGTAACTTTAATTTCTGGCCTTTTGTGAAGTCAGCAAATTGAAACTGCCTGCTATTCAGTTCCTAAGAAAAGCAAAGTGATTCTTGTGGAAAATTCCAAGTGCATGTAATTTGAACTGTTCAAATATATCTTTGGATCAAAGGACACTACATGAAGTATAACTTGACCTAAAAGTACAACACAACGTACTTTAAATATAGCAAGTGTACACTTCCTCTATCTCAGGCTAGCTAACACTGTATTAAAATAGCCTGAATTTTTGTGGGCAAGCTGAGTGAAAAGTGGTATCTGGCAGATGTTCTGTATCTTAAAAACTAGAACTGAAAGAGAAAAACTGGTGCAGGTCAAATATACCCAGAAACAAGGCTAATTTCTGAGGCACTAAAATATGTATTGCCCAGTGAAATCCATTGCAATGGCCATGCAGGACTCACAGACAATACTCACAATAATGAAGATGTATTAGTGAAGTTACCAGGTTACCACAAATCAGGATCAGAAAACATTAAGGATGCAGATTTTGGTCCTCAGCAGCAAATCTTCTCAGGCAGCATCCCAATCTTTTTCTGACCTTTAGCCTTTCAGAGTACCTTGGTCTCTGCCTAGTTTCCTGAGCAGGAAGCCCAACATTCTGTTTCAAGGTCCCAGTCAGCATCCTCCCCTCTGTCTCTTGATCTCAGTGCTGTGGCCTCTGGTCCTCTATTGTCTGCAACTTTAGATAGGGATCTCACACACACTTCCTTAGTGACTCTTCTTGTTTAATGGTTACATAATTCTTCCTGTTCCTGCTTCTGAGATGCCTATCATATTCACAGAAATAGCAAAACTGGCCAATCCCTGAGTTGTAGTTTTCTATACCTTACTTGCAAGACTGTCAGTGAAAGAGCCATACCAAGCAATTTCACTTCACCACAGTTAGTGAACAGGAAATACTCCATACCATTATAGTGAAATATAATAACTAGGAAGATACTATATAGGAGGAAAACTATTAAGCGCAATAGCATGCCATATATGTGAATATCTGACATTAAAGGGGTTTTATAAAGTGAGGCTTTAAAGAAATGTTTAGCAAGATTGGAAAAAAATAAGAGAATTTAGACTAGAGTGTTGTGAAATAAAAAATGAGATTATTTTAAGATACCAGAAATATTGAATGGAATTAAAAAGAGTTGGCATTAAATGAGCACAAAAGGAGGTTTGTTTGATTTTTAAAACACAGAGGCATTTGAAAAATTGATGAAAATAATCTTAGGTGAGTAGTGGGTTAGAAGAAAGAAAACTAGATGATGTTCAAGTAGTCCATACTCTTAAGTATGCACATTGGAGAGCTGGGAAATTCCCATTGAATCAAATAACATGGTTCTAGTAAGAGAATCAGAAACTTATACTTCATTATATTGATGCGTTCATGACATCATTGGGAAAACATACATATTTTGACCATAAAGAGAAAAATATAGCACATTATTTTCTAGAGGAAAATATCAACTTATGATCAGTCTCAAAATTACCATCACTAATTGATAACAGAACCCAGAACAGGATAATCAGCTCCATATCATCTTTTTTTTTCCCGCCCACAGAAAATTGCTCATTACATTATTTTTCAAGGAAGCTTTGGCTGATGACAAAAAGAGTTTTTCATACGTTAAAGGAGTTGAAAAATTCACACTGTCTTGGCCTGTGAACAATATTAAACTTCTCTAGAAACTTGTCATATTCCATTTAGCACGCTTTTTGTTCAGAAAGGCTTTTTCTGTCCATTCCTCAATAGAGGTAATCTTTTCTATTTTTATACTTTTTCTTATCCCTAAAAAATGTCCATTTATATTTTGTGAGATTTGGTGTCCTTAGAACCAGAAACAATCCTTATGACGCAGTCTCGTATCTGCTTGGTTTTCACTCCATAGACAACAGGGTTCATAGTAGGAGGAAGGAGCAGATAGATATTGGCCACAAGGATGTGACAAGATGGGGGGATCGTGTGGCCCCCAAAACGGTGGGAAAAGAAGGAGAAGAAAGCCGGACTGTAGGAGAAAACAATGGCACAGATGTGGGCAGTGCAAGTGCTGAAGGCCTTTTGCCGAGCATCTGCTGATGAGAGGCTGACCACTGCCCGGAGGATCATAGTGTAGGAAATAGTTATGCACAATATGTCAAAACCTCCAATCAGCAGGGCAACCGTAAGACCATAAATGGCGTTGACCTTGACATTCCCGCAAGATAGTTTGGCCACAGACATGTGGTCACAGAATGTATGGTGTATTATATTGCCCTTGCAGTAGGGTAGTCGCTTAGTGAGGAAGGTGAAGGGAATGATGAGTATCACACCTCTCAAAAAGGTAGCAAGACCAACCTTTGCAATGACAGGATTGGTGAGGATAGTTGAGTAGCGCAGAGGGTAGCAGATGGCCACATAGCGGTCAAGGGCCATTAGCATTAATACCCCAGACTCCATACCTGTGAAGGTGTGGATGAAGAACATCTGCACCAGGCACTCATTAAAGCCAATTCCCTTGAGACGGAACCAGAATATCATGAGGGCCTTGGGAATGGTACTGGAGCACATGACAAGATCAGTTAGGGAAAGCATAGCCAAGAAGTAGTACATAGGCCTGTGCAGAGAGTCTTCATAATGAATCAGATAAAGGAGTCCACAATTGCCTATCATAGCCACAAGATACATAGAACAGAATGGGAAGGAAATCCAGATGTGCACATCCTCCAATCCTGGGACTCCATTCAGAATGAATGATGCGGGGCTAAAGCCTGTTTGGTTCAACATCATCTTAATCCGGCTGGTATGATCATTAAATAGCAAAACAATTATTTGTGTTTTCCTACAGCAAGAAAAGGAAGAGATAAAGCATAGATGTTATCTCTATTTCACCCATATACACCCCATTTAAAATTCTATAATACAATTTAACAATCAACCATCTAAACATGTTGGGTGCCAGGAAATAACTGTTTTGTTTTTGTGGTATTATTCATTCAGTAAGCCATCCAACACATTTTTATTGATAGCCCACGTTGTCCCAGCTCTCATAAAAAAAAAACAACAGAAATGTGAATGCTATTTTGTTCTTCATTATAATTCATTTTCTTACTATATCCACAATGTGATACACACATTTTGTAAATATTCAAGTATTTATTTCGCACAAATATTAAATGTCATGGCAAAGATCTTGATTCAGACATCTTATTTTTAAAGAGGTTTCATCCCGGTCTTTTCTCCAGCCTTGTAATTATGCAATGTGGTATTGTTCTATATTTCCTGATAAAATTAAAACTCTTAACCATGAATGGAAAGTAAGTAATTAGAAAAAACACACAACTATTCTGGAGATTATTTATTAACTCTATGATGCTTGGAAATGTTACCAGGCAATATAGAAGTCAGAATGGTCCTCATGTTGTAGGGTGCATACCACAGCACCCATATTACCTGGTCACCATTGCCAGATCACAGAAACAGGTGGATTTGACAGAGCCTAACTTTTATTTTCACCTGCATGGGAAGGAGGAGGGGGGCATCCTTCCTCCAAATGTCCATCTCTCCGTGTCTGTTTGTTTACACAGTATATGTAAATATAGGTTAAGTGAAACAATTATTTCAGACAGACACCATCTTGAAATGACAAGTACAAGGTAGGAAAACAAAATTTTGTTTTGTCAAATTTAAATTTTGCTTTAAGAAAGATCTTATGGTCCATTCCTAAGGGACCCTAAATCTCAAAGAGACAGGCTGGGTGTGCAGGTCCTGGCCCTTAGTGAGGGGAGGGAGAAAGCCTTGGAGATCATCAAGCTAAGAATTGGGTCATTGGCTGACTTGACACCAGCAAGAATCTGTTCCTGGACACTATCACAGGATACTTTGTGAGACAAGGTAGAGGGATTTAATTTAGCTATGGAGGATTTCTAGCTAAGTAATATCTAAACAAAGCATATAATTCTCCGAACTACATTATATTTTTATCATAAAACAATAGTGGATTGACTTTTCAAGTCGCCATCCCTATCACTTCCTCCCATGGAGTAAAGGCAGAAAACGGAAAGAGGGGGAAAATGCACACTAAACTTCGTAAGAAGTAGTATGTACATCCAATGGAGAAACAAAATGAGAATCAATTCGACACAGGAATTGAGGCTCATTACAATACAAGAGTGGCAAAAATTGTTGTGCTTGGCAACTAACTGAAGGTTGGAGTTTAAAGCTTACTCAACATCATCTTAGAACAAAAGCCTAGTAAACTTCCTCTGTAAGAATGACACCCAAGAAAACCAGATGAAGAACACTGGTGCACTGGGACATAGGAGGTTGCCATGATGCAGAATTGATTCTATGGCTTAGGCTTCCAACACCGGATTCTCATTCTGCTACTAGGTTCCAATGCGGCCGAAAATTCATGAACGATGTCTACTTAGTAGAACGAATGCAGCTCTTTGTGAACAGATCTCCCCAACATTCCAATTAGTTCCCACTAACTACCTTCCCCAGGAGTCTTATTGGGACTAGAAATAGAAAATGGGGTATAACATCTTGGATAAAACTATTGTGAAGTAATATAGTAGAAACACCACCAATTTGTTAGACCTATTTCTATAATGAATTTGTCAATTCACTTAAAATCTCCAGACTTTTAATCTCTCAATTTCTCAGAGAAATCTTTAACTTACAAACTAACATCTTTAAAACTTGCAATGTCCATCTTTCTTTATATATGGATAAAAATGCAATTGAAGGACGTCCATACTCAGTCTAGAAACCAAGTTCTGAAAGACAGTCAGCCACCTAATTTATTGCAAAGAAATTACTGTAGATTATAGAAAAACAGTACTTCCAAAAAAATTCTTGCGTCAATTAAACACGTATGAGGGGAACCTCTTTACCTCTAAATCACACCATATGTGCAACAAATTTCAGGGGAAAGTTAGATCTAAATGTGAAACACCAAATACACATCATCTGACATATGGAGTAGACAATACTTTTACAACAGCACATCTGTTGTATACTAAATTAGACTGTAAGTGCAAATACATCATTAAAAGAAAACTAGCCATCAAGTCACATCCACCTCAGGATGTTGACGGTTTGCACCATTCACAGAGGCTAACCCACAAAGGAAGAGAAAATATTCACACTCATGCAGCATCCATACAAATAGAGAAGTAGGCACAAGGGACTTAACATGGAGTTTTCAAAGTGCCAATAAACATATAATAGTCACAAGGGGGAATGAAAATTGGTTTTCTCATGAGAGAGAACTCTATTCCATATTTAAAAACAAACAAACAACTCACTGCCATCCGGGGATGCAGACTCACAACAACTCTATAGGACAGGGTGGAACTGCCCCGGTGATTTTCTGGAACTGCACAGTTCTTTATGAGACTACAAAGACCTATCTTTCTCCAGTGGAGCGGCTGGTATTTTCAAACTGCTGATCTTGTACCTCCAGGCCAACTCATAACCACTGTGCCACCAGAGCTCCCAACATACCATACAGGATAACTAAAATGAAACAAACAAACAAAAACAGAAACATCAAAAGTATGGCACATATGGTACTCCTGGAGTTATAATACACTGGGGGTAAGAGTATAAACTGAATCAGCTATTTGGGGCATACCTTATAAGAATGAACATACATCAGAACACATGAACTAGAATGCTAATTGTAGAATTTAGACAATTTTTAGTAGTTTAAATCTGGAAATTACATAAATGTCCATCAGTATCATAATGAGTCAACATATACTGGTAACTTCTCAGAGTGAACTTTCAAAGAGCAAAAAGAATAAACAACCCATGACTACTTATATCACTTTAGATGAATCTTATATAGTGTTTTTAAAAGCTTGACCTAGGGTAATGTAACACTTGGTTTCATTTTTAAAATTCAAAAGCATGTCAAATTAATCTGTGATACTGAAAGAAAACTCATGGTTTCCCTACATGAGGGGGGATGACAAACGGATGGCAGCATGAGGTAGACATCTGATAATATTCTTATTGGATTCTGGCAATAGTCTCCTTCTTAATCCCATTGATCGTATGGGTTTTAGGTTTGAATAATTCCTCAAAATTTAACTTGCCAAGTTGTGCACATTTTATCATAATTTATTTTTTAATACACACAAAATCATAGTATTTCTTTTTTTTCAATTTTAAGATTTCTTTTTTTTTAAATCATTTTATTGGAGACTCATACAATTCTAATCACAATCCATTCATGCATCCATTGTGTCAAGCACATTTGTACATTTATTGCCATCATCATTCTCAAAACATTTGCTTTCTACTTGAGCCCTTAATATCAGCTCCTCATTTCTCCCTCCCTCCCCACTCCCTCATGAACCTTTAATAATTCATAAATTATTATTATTTTGTCATATCTTACACTGTCCAATGTCTCCCTTCACCCACTTTTCTGTTGTCCATCCACCAGGCAGGAGGTTATATGTAGATCCTTGTAATCATTTCCCCCTTTTCTACCTCACCTTCCCTCCTCCCTCCACGTATCGCCACTCTCACCACTGGTCCTGAAGGGATCATCTGTCCTGGGTTCCCTGTATTTCCAAGTCCTATCTGTAGCAGTGTACATCCTCTGGTCTAGCCAGATTTGTGAGGTAGAACTGGGATCATGATAGTGGGGGGGGGAGGAAGCATTTAAGAACTAGAAGAAAGTTATATGTTTCATCATTGCTACCCTACACCCTGACTGGCTCATCTCCTCCCTGTGAACCTTCAGTAAGGGGGTGTCCAGTTGCCTACAGATGGGCTTTGGGTCTCCACTCTGCACTCACCCTCATTTACAATGATAAAAACCATAGTATTTCTAAGACTGAGTGAACTGTGACAGTATAGTGGACTTTGCATTGGGATGCTAACCACAAGGTCAGTGGTTTGAACCCACCAGTGCTTCCAATGGAGAAAGATGAGTCTGTCTGCTACCATACAGATTTAGAATCTGTAACGCAAAGGGACAGTTCCACTCTGTCCTGTAGATTTACAAAGTTGCTATGAATTGTAATCTTGATGGCAGTGAGTTTGAGAAGACGGAAGGAAGTAGCACATGAGGCACCCTACTGCATTTCATGTGCTCAATGTCCCTATTTTTATTTTCTTCTCAGACTGAGTCATTTTGGCAATGCTTATGAAAATTCGTGCAGTAGAAAGCAATTCAGTGGCACCAAATGAATACTGTCTTGTGCCCTATGAGAATATCCGTCCTACCATCAAACATAAAAATGTATTAGAGATCATTATATGATAGGGACTATAATTCCATGAAAATTGTACATTTTAAATAAATATCAAAGGAGAGCAAAGTAAATTTAAAAGAATTAATCATGTTTTGGAAATAGTTCTGCAGGTCCACCCATATAGGAGAGGCTAGACAAAAAAAAAAAAATGTGAGAAGAAAATAAAGGGAACAACAGCCCCGGAGGGACATGAGAGTGTGGGAGGTAGGGGAAGGGAAGAGGTGTTGGCAAACCCAGGGACAAGGGAACAATGAGTGATTCAAAACCAATGGCAGGGAGTGGGTGGGAGGACTGGTAGGGAGTGACCAAGGGCAAGGAAACTGAGAGGAATTACTGAAACCAGAATGAAGGCTGAACATGGTAGTGGGACAAGAGGAAAGCGTAAGGAAATAGAGGAAAGGAGTAGGAAGCAAAGGGCATACATAGAAGCTTAAATACAGACATGTACATATGTAAATATATTTAAGATTATGGGGGAAATGGACCAAGGTGCACATATTTATAAGTTTAGTAGTA